TGAGCAAGGTACCTCTATGACCTTGACCCTTGCCTACTTCCCCCTCCCCAAACGTCCCCGGGACAGCACATAACAGGAGGTAAGTTCGATTACGGAGGAGAGAGGAAGCTTCCCCAAAGTAGGTGTCGCATCCCGGATCTCAGAGGATTGGTGTCCGGAGTTTGCGACACCTCGCCTTTGAAGGGGTTGCACCTTCTGCAGACGAAGCAGTGGGTCTATTTATATCCCCCCGACCCACTGGGGGTAAAAGAAAATAAGCATTATTATATCGACACAGTAATGGTCATTTAGTGCAGAGAAACAGTAAGGAAGAGAGACAAAAACTACAGATGGAAAGTACAATGTAAATAAGTAGTAGGACCTATCAGTAACGCCCTCGAACCATCCACCCAATAGATGTTGAAAACAAAAATAAAGAAAAGGACAGGGATCAATCAAATCAAAGTAAGACTAGGAATCCAAGTTCACCTCCAGAGATGTAGGCGTGTGGAACTGACGTGTTCACAAACACAGCCTCGCCTGGCGTCAGATGCAGAACGTTGAGGAAGTAGATGGAGAAACAGCCTCTGTCTCCTGGGTAGTCTTCGTAGACTTTGAGAAACACCTCTCCCTCCAGATGAGAAATGTCTTCACCGTTCTTCTCTGAAATACGAAAGCCATTGATCCCCAGCTGAGTACCATCTATTCTGATCTTAGACAGCGAAAGATCTTGTCAGTTTGTTAGTGTTTGAGCGCTTAAGGCCATTTGCTGTTGAATACGCTCAAATTCAAAACTGCTCGTTTCAGGGTGTTTTAGTGCTTTTCTTTGAAGGCTTATTAGATTATATATTAGAAAATACCACAGAAAAAAAATACGTGTTCATTTTGAAAAAGCCCAAAATGGCGGTCATTTTGGATTTTTAATTACCATATATGTACCCAATATTACAATTCAGGTCATAGAGAGAAACAGTTCTTAGCTCTTTTAAACAGCAGTATACTTTTTTTCTAAACTATTGTCTCCTCTCTCTCTCTCTCTCTCTCTCTCTCTCTCTCTCTCTCTCTCTCTCTCTCTCTCTCTCTCTCTCTCTCTCTCTCTCTCTCTCTCTGGCTCCCCTCTCTCTCTGTCCTTCTCTCCCTCAGTATACTTTTCCATTGTAAAAGCGCTCACTGTGTCTGTCTGTCTGTCGGTGTATCTGTGTATCTGTGTGTCTGCATGTCTGTGTGTCTGTCTGTATCTATCTATATATCTCTCTCTGACTCTCTGCCCCCCCCCCCTATCTCTCTCTCTCTCTCTCTCTCTCTCTCTCTCTCTCTCTCTCTCTCTCTGTCTCTCTCTTTCTCTCTCTCTCTCCCCTCTGTGAAAAACACTTACTCATTCTTGTAATACGTTCAGCAAGGTTCACCAGCTCCGTGCTCACTGTGTCCTTGTCTGCACGCATGAGCGCCTTGAAGCACTCTTTCATCGTATCTTCCTGACCGTCTTGTTTAAACTGTTGGCCGTTCTCGGTAACAACCTCATCAAACAATTCGTCCGGGATCGTTTCGAGAACTTTGCGCAACTCCGGAATTCCTGCGAGATAAATCCAGTGATTTTCAAGATACTGTATTAACACAGAACATGTATAAAATGACAGCTGTTGTTGAGGTGTGGTTTGAACCGATAATTTGGTTTTTTAAAAAGTTTTAGTAAGAGTTTTATGGCATTTTCAACATAATAAGGTCATATAAGGGCCTGAGATTAAAGGTGTTACGAGAGAGCAACAAACACTCCCCCCCTTTCTCTCTCTCTCCCCCCCTCTCCCCCCCCCTCTCTCTCCCCCCTCTCTCTCTCTCTCTCTCTCTCTCACACACACACACATACCCACACCCCCCTCTCTCTCTCCCCCTCTCTCTCTCTCTCTCTCTCTCTCTCTCTCTCTCTCTCTCTCTCTCTCTCTCTCGCTCTCTCGAGGCGCTCTCTCGCTCTCTGTCTCTCCTGTCTTTTTCTCTGGAGGCGGGGGGGAGTGTTAGAGGAGAGTAAACACGCATGTTTCTCTCTTTGTGGCGAACTCCCGCGTTATTCTTAGAAGAGAAATTTACCCCTGGGACTAGAGCTACAAGCGGCGACGTCTCTA